TTGTATCATAATATTTGAACATTTTGTTAGAAACGTAGGGAAAAATAAAAACGCGGTGTGGGTGTGGGTGGGTGCGTGGGGTGTGCGCATAAGTGTCGGCGAGGGTGGGGTGTGGGTGTGGGTGTGGGTGTGAGGTGTGGTTGTGGGTGTGACGTGTGGTTATGGTCGTGAGTGTTCGTGTGGACATTGTCTTTTCTTCATGTTCATCCACACCCACACCCGCAGTCACACCCACCCTCGCCGACACTTATGCGCACACCCCACGCACCCACCCACACCCACACCGCGTTTTTATTTTTCTCTACGTTTCTAACAAAATGTTCAACTATTATGATACAAATGGAAAAACATTAAAAAAAACTCAGAGAAATTGAGTATTATCTAAACATGTAAATACATTGCTTCTATTTGGTCAATGTTGGAATACAATAAGAGAAGTGTTTACATTGTATTTTGAACTAGAAATTCTAAGTCTCGCGATATAAGGGAAAGGTCAAAATCAAAATTTCTTCTGGATGGCAGGTTTTTCCTGTACATTTTTTTCCAGGTTTTCCAAAGATCAGTAGTTTCAAAAAAATCTCCCCTTAGACACTACCTGAGAAAAAGACGTCGCTCTGTCTTATCCATGGAATACTGAAAACCTCATGTGTCTGACGGTTTGTTCGTGAGAAGTTCGAAAATTAATGACAGACAATATATTTTGAATTACTTGGCATTAGTTTTATGAAACAAATGATGAAGTTTACATTGATATCTATGAAAGAAATTTCGTTTGCTTTTGAAAGGTGCTTATAGTTCATTTCTACATCGAATGAAATTCACTTTAGCCCCTCCCCCCCTCCCCTCCTTAGAAATAATTTCCCACTTTGAATGGGTCTTCTGACCTGAGAATTTCAGGGAAGATTGATCCTGGGGAGTTTTGCTCCCGTTGAAAATTTCAGCCCGATTGGCCTCACTAGACCGGAGTTTCAGCTGAATCATAGGTCATTTTTGACCTTCAGGAGGATCAATATAACTTCGTCATAACATGTGATATCGAGCTTGGGCTGGTCTCAAATTAAAGCTAATGTCAGTACGCAACTTTTGTCCAAACAGAATTTTTACATTCAATCTTACTGATTTTTTATGACCATTTTAGTGGAAAGGCTAAAAATTAGTATAAAAAATGATGATGAAACGACAGTAAATTCGACTTTTCTCATTGCAGGAATCGAGTTTAAAAAAACTGGTCACACACAAGTTTAGTCTCAATGAAACCCTTAAAACAAACAAAAATTATATACGGCGCGATCCGAGAGGCAGTTATTTCAATTTTTCTATCTGGAAACCATGTTTTGAGAAAACCTCGAAAGAGGTTTTAGAAATGGATTTTTTCTTCAAATGCAAAATAATCAAGGGGGAAACAACTGACTTGTATGACTTTCTTGAATTCAAAGTCATCAAAATCATTTAGATCATTTAGATCATTTAGATCATTGAGATCGCGAAACTCATGAAAGAGTCAGAATATTTAAAAGAATATATTGATTAGTATTCATTTCAAATCGATTTGAATATCAACATACCCTGTTACGTTTCGAAGATAGTAACAAAAACAATAATCTCACATAGGCACGTATAGGATATCCCTAAGTTTTGATGTTGTAAAACGAAAAGATTCAAAATACTCGAAGATAATTTAAAAAGATTTTTTAGCATGTGATAGACTATAGGAAGAACTAGTCTGAAGACCGGATAACTGTTACATATTATTTGCTTGCATCAAAACAGGCAGCAGCAAATAACTCACTCCTTGTTTGTAATCCCATTGAATACGATTGTCAGAAATATGTTACTTCATAGTCTACTATGATGTAAACAAGAAAAAAAATGCACGACGTGGACGGAAGAAAATTACAAGAACACCATGTTTACTGATTTCTTTTTGCTGTCAATTTTTCTTCCCCATGTGATCTCAACGATTACCACTAGTATAAAATGTTCATAATTTCATTCGTTTATATTCAAATCATTTCTTCAATTATGTCTCCTTCACAAAAAATATTTGTGGATACCTCAATACTTCCTTAAAGAATGGACGTGATCTAAATCTGTTTGATTTGAAACTCATCGAAGGCATCGACTATTTGCTGATAGTTCCTTCATACAACAGCGATTCTGCTCATATTCGTTGTGGCTGTTGAGCATCAGCTATGCTGCCAAGACAAGGAAACAATTTACAATTATCTAACTATTATCGACATTTAAAAACAGGAAAATGCTCTATGCTTCAATAGAAATTCCAACCAATTCCTGTTCATAATAATGATGCACATGATATTATTGATACTATCGAGAAATCATCGTCAGAACAAACAATAATTATGGAAAATAGTCAGATATTATCTTTTGATTCTAATTCTTCAATTCGTTCCAAACGAGCAACATCTTCATCAAATCATGTTCATTTAAAGAAAAAACGTCAAAGAAAATTCATGTAAATCTACACAAATCTATTAATATGAACATATTGAACTTATTTTCGTTTTTTATATTTAATTTGAAGATATTCATCTTTCGCTTTCATAGTTTTTTGTTACTTCATGGTGATAAATTTTTTTTTGTTTTTTTTTAATCGTTTTTTCGATAGGACGTCATATGTTTCTGGGTCGATAGATCTTATTGTTATTTTATTTCGATGAACATGATGTAAATACAGAAATTATCGAGGTGAAATATGTTGAAAAAGGTCACGTTATTTCATTACTAAGAACAATATATTGCAAGAGAGAGCGATAAAGTAGTTATACTATCGAACATGTCAGACGATTTTATGATTGGTCTGTCAATTTTTCACTTTATCCGTTAAGCAGAGAATAATTTTTTTTAATATCGCTTTGTTGATTATGACGAATTCGCCAAACGGCGCTGACCGTCGTGTAAGCAGAGAATAATGAACGAATACAATATATGAATATATAGTGCGTTTGGACATTTTTTTTTCATATTCTATTCAAAATTTCTTTCTCTCTTGTTCAAAATCGACTCTTAAATACATAATTAATTTAAATTGACCATTCGTTTCAATTTCATCTGGTAGTATACATATATTCGGGCTTCTGACAACAATGTCAATACCTATTGATTTACCACATGATGTTCTTTCATATCATGATAACATTTTTTATGATCTCGTCTGAGATAAATGTGGTGGAATTGTCGAAGAAATCTTCAAGTTCCAAAAGATAAGATCCGCACAAACGTTATTGCGAATAACAGATGTTTTTGATTTTATGAATTATGATTCTGATGATTTAAATGTACTTAAACAAAAAGTTGGTTTTCGTCTCAACAATGGTCAATATCAAATTAAGCCTGGAATTCTTATGGACGTTGATTCATTCCTGCAATCCTTAAGAATTGCCAATGATAATTTGTTGAAAGCAGTACCAATAGATTACAGTAGTGATAATTTCACGATATCTCAAGATTTTCTTCGTAAACATCCAATTATCATGTCACTTATCCAATATTATTCAATAGAAGAACTCAATGCTGATGATACTGGTATGTCTTTTTTGAACTCATTGATGAAAAACATTACACAAAACCTGTCTCGCCCCAAAAACTCATATAGATACAATGAACATGTAAAAAGATTTGCTGTTAGTTTGTATATTCTTGCTGGTCGTAATGCTTATGAATTTGTTCGAATAAATATTCCTGGTGCTTTTCCTTCTACTTCCACGATTCAGTCTTTTTTAGATGAAGAGGAGAGACATATAAAAGAAGGAGAGTTTCGTTTTGACATTGTAAGACGCCGTCTAAGTTTGACTAACACAAATATTGCTTTTTGCTCTGAAGATTGTACTGCGATAATTCCTAAAGTAGCATACGATATCAATTCAAACAGTTTTGTCGGTTTTTCATTGCCTCTTGATGAGGGACGTCCTATTACTGATCACTACCGAACAGAATCTTTCGCTCAATTAGAAAGCTGGTTTTCTAGTGTTGATAAATCGACTCTTTTAAATATACATATGATTCAACCTATTACGAGCACAGAACAAACTTCCAGTCCGATAATTCTTTCGGCATATGCCACTAATAGCAAATATACATCAATAGATATTATACGTCGATAGATATGGATATTTGATGAATGTCTAGCAAAAGGCATTCGGATAATCGGTTTTTCGACCGATGGCGATCCAAAATATTTAAAAGCTATGAAACTTGTCTTAGGCTTTTTTGCTTCATTACCTAACATGAAAATCAGCGATAGGCCTCATGCGTTTGAAGTATCTCGACCGGACAATTGGAATTGGTTTTTTCTTAGGCAACGGCAACTAATTCTTTGTTTTCAGGATCCCATTCATATATGTACTAAATTGAGAAATCGTTTGCTTTCAACTACAGCTGAAATGATCATCGGTAATCAACGTATTTCGTTAGATCTTTTATCAGAAATGATAGCTAGTAGGAGCAAGATAAAACATGGCCTGGTGAAATCAGATATCTATCCCCATGACAAACAAAATTTCACATCTTGCGAAAAAATATCCAGTAACAGTGTAATATCGACATTAGAAGAAATATCTAATTCATTAGCTACTCGTTTGTATTTAAGACTCATCCGTTCTGTAATAATAGCATACATTGGCAGAGCAACGATTATAAATGATCGAGTTTATCATGCTTGGTTTACTGTTTTTCTATGTCGTATCTGGTGGGCATGGCTTCTAACAAAGACAGAGCACGATTCTGATGAAATGTTGTCACGGTCATCAAACGAGAATTCTTCTCAATCTATAGGAAAATTAAAACGAAAATATTTTATCACAAATACGTCGTTTCAATCGATCGAAATCAATGCACATCAATTAACATATCTCATTCTTCTAGTAATAGAAGGAAGTTTACCCATAGAATCTCTTCAAATCTTTCTATTTAATTCTCAAACATATGAAAGCACATTTCGTTCTGCTAGAGCCATGTCGGGTGCTTTCTCATCTATCGTTAACTTTTCCGTAATTCAGTTTTTACGTCGTGCTCAGAAACTATCAATATTGAATTGTATTAAAAGTGAGAGTGAAATCAATATTTCTACGGTTAAGACACCACCTCTGTGTTTTCCTAAACATCATAAACAAATTAGTAGAGCAGTTGCATCTTCAACTTCATCAATGATATCCCCCATTGACGAAAGCTGAAATCGAACGAATAGTTTCTTCCGCTTTTGATGATGCTTTCAAATTACTAGGTAAAATTGATGTATATAAGTCCTTGAAGGAAAAAAAACATTCATACGTTTCGAAATCTGAATAATTTTGTATTAAATAAAATGAATGCGATATCGAAAACAGTTGATTGGTCTAGTCTCACAGATGTGTCGTCTGATTCTGAATCTGACGATGAATTCACTTCTGACAACTCAGTGGATCAAGAACATGTAGAAAGAGATAGTGACGATGAGTCAGATGTTTATAGTGTCAATGATATAAATGAAAATTCTTTGCATGGCGTCCGAATCGTGGACGTAGAATTCTCAAGTAATAATGGGATTCAAAGCAAGATACATGGTGAGAAACAATAATGATTTTCAATCTTTCAGATCATTTAAGTCAAAAAAGTCACTTAAAGTCATTTAAGTCATTTAAATCATTTAAGTCATAAAGTCAGTTGTTTCCCCCTTGAAAATAATGGTTTAATAATAATATTTATGTGGAATTTTTGAAAGCACGCAATAGATGGCGTAAGCTAGCATTACAGGTCGTACTATATGATATAAGAATTTTGATTTCATGCTGATAGAAGTAAAAAAGTAGCTTTCTCAAAAATAAAAAAAACCGCAAGCATCTTTCCGAAAATCAGGTAGTGAGGTGAAAATCTTTTACGAAAGTCTGTAAAAATTTGACCCTTTTTTTGAAATTTATATATATTCTGAAAGAGGAAACTTTGCTGCATCTGTCTATGATAAAAATTGTACTTCCATTACTTCACCAAAAAATGGCTTTTCTAAAGGAGGGGAGCTTAAGTAAAATTTTTTTTTGACGGAATGGAAATAATTGTAGCGCTACTCTCTAGAAAAGTGAGAACTAAAACAGCACCCAATATTGTTAGTTATTTTCATTCATAAAAGCTCCTACAAAGCTAGAGCAAAGAAGTATATTCCGAAATCTTAGTTAAAGCTGTACATCTTTTGGAGAAGAAAGATATTGAAAATGGTTCGATTAGTGGAAAAAATGGACTTTTAGTCGATATCTTCTGTCGAGAGCAGTCTTTTGATAGTTTTGACAAGAGGTCTGAGAAATTAAAACAGATAGAAGCTTGATTTTGTCGTAATTGGATGGACAGCTACAGATAAAATATTCAGAAAAGAAAATTATTAAAATCGACTGAATGCAATCTGGCTTAGAGATATTTTTCTTTCCCGATATCAATATAACCATTTCGACGCTCTTCCGTCAGATTTCTTTGTACACAAAATATCCTGCACACCCACACCTCCTACACCTCTGATATCTTGAGATCTTCTATTTTTCCTGTATCTTTTATATATGGGTTTAAATAGTTTCTCAAGAAAGATACAAAAGACATGTAATGATCTTATTCACTATGATCATTACATCTAGGGATGCAACGATAACGATCATTCATCGGTATATCGTCACCATTGCATCGCATTAAACTGGTTACAGTAAGCTCGATTACCGATCTGACTCTGATAATAGTACCTAGGATTACTGAACCAACTACGATAACCGTACCCATAAGCTACGATAATAAACTGAAGCTAATTATCATGAACGAATGAAATTTTTAAGAAAATAACGATATTTTTTAAAGATTGACGAAAGTGAATCGAGATCAAGGAATTCGAATCGAAAGTTTTTTTTCAAGGACTTTGATTTTTAGTTAGCCACATATAATGTTTTTCAGGAAGAAAACTCTCTAGAAAAATACAGCTTTTATGAAGTGGATTAGTCGTGGAAACTGGATAGTGAAAATTTCAAAAATCTGATTTCAGATTTGGATTCATCGCTCTCGATTTATTTTCGACAATCCTTATCAAATGTCACTATTTTCCAAAAAAACTCTTTTCATTCTTGATAATCAACTATGGTTGATTACCGTAGCTAATAAGTACGGTTATCGTCACTGTTGCATCCCTAATTTTATTCATTACTCTTATCACGGCTATTATGTTCATTATGTTCATAGGCACAATAGAGGGAAACTATGTCCAGGAAGTTGAACCCGATTTCAAGAAATCAATTGATTTCCAGAAATCGAGCTAGTGTCCGAAAAATGAATAAATTTTTTAGAAACTCATATAACACACCATATGTATGCGATATCCTGATAATAATTGATCGCAGCTCCCTCATCCAAAGACATTAAGTAAAAAATGATGTTTTGAAGCTTGAAAATTGCTGTCATGGCAAACATCTGGCGCACTGAATCCAACTGCATCCATACTTTTATTCACCTCACTATCATAATTTTGCTAGGCATATTTGTTTTGTATAACATCGTATACCGTACTAACTTTTATGCGAAAGTGAACCCAAAGGTTTTTTTTCTGCAATATAGTCGACGAAATACTAACAAGAGCATCTTGCAGTCAGTCAAAGAAGACGGTAAGAGATCTGATGTTCCTGAACTTGTATCATTGTATGCACTCTTAGATTACCTATGCCATGTGCCTACTTTCTTAATACCAGCTACTGGGTCTATCACATTATTAATTGTAATTGCATTTAACCGTGCTGATATTATTGAAATACATTTTGCAACTGCTTTGGCGTTTTTGCCAAACAACTCTTTCGAATACCTAGTGTTCGATAATAGCCCAAGCTCGAAACCGGAAACAACAAAAGCCATTAAAGAAATTTGCGAAAAGTTCGATCTCAAGTATATTCGAGTTCCTGTGTCACTACAGAACGACGGGCCACCATCCACCCACGCTGCCATAGTTGAATGGATAATTAAAAACCATGCGTCGAAGCACAATGGTCGAGTATGGTTCCTTGATATTGATATGTTCCTTCTTCGAGATTGGTTATGGGAAGAGATCATGCCCGACACAAAATATGACATAATGACAATACTACAGGGTCGGCCACTGAAGAATGTTGATAAAGAATATGCATCCTATTTATGGCCTAATTTCATCGTCTTTAGCGATATCCAAAACATACCTGACTTATTCTCAATGGGATGGAAGCCTGTTAATATCAACGGACAAGCTTTGGATTCCGGTGGAGAGACATTCTTTTGGATTAAAGCACACCCGAACGTACGTATTAAAAGTATGTCTCAAGTATCTTCTAGTGACATAAATGGTTATCAAGCTCTATATCGAAAACAAACACCACAAATGATTGAAAAAATACGCAACAATACATATCTCCATAGATTGATATGGCCAGAGAATTCCAAAATAGCACAGACCTACACTCATGAATTTATTGGTGACTTTCATATTCTTCATTATAGAAGTATTACCAATTGGAATCGAGCAAGCTCTGAATACAATGCCGAAAAATGGGATAAAATTAAGAATGCGATCCTGCAAGTGCTACGTGACAAACAGCTTCAAAACGAACGAGAGTTAGAATCTTACCGAAAATGCTTAATAAATAGAAAACACTACATGATCTAGCAAAAATACAACATATAAAAGTCAACTTTTAAAAAGCCAAGCAAAGACTCATAGAGGGTGTGGGTGTCCTTGGAAATAATAAACACGCACGCCCACACCCTCAAAAGCTGCTGGCTAGGACTTCTCATTGAGAAATATTGTCAATGGAATCCGATCCCAAGAAGTATCTAGTATTATCGTATGTTCGGTACGTATGCGTTCATACAAGAATTTAGCCACCGAAGTGTTAATCGCCAGTCGATTAAGTGCTCTATTTATGTCTCGAAGGCGTGTTTTTCGAGTGCTGCCGATATGTTCAGTAAATTGAGTGCCGTTTTGGAATTCAAACGAAGAATCATCTATAATGCTTACATGCCGCTTTAGTTTAAAACGCTTCGACGTTGCATACAAGTTCATATTGCTGTCATTTAAATAAATATCCTTGTAGAAATCGTATTGATACACAACATTCCATAAGGATGATTGTTCATAGTCATGCACATAGTTTTTGTCGCTTCTATTATGATGCCACCAAAGTTGAAATAACAGAGCAACTGTACTCTTAAGTGGATTGTCCAAAGATTCAGCTTTGCGAAATAAGAAGACACCAGAATTGGGGAAATTGAATGTGAATGGTTTGTTGTGCAAGAATGCGATGTCGCAATTGGTATGAAAAAGAAAATGACAGCCTCGATCACTAGAAACGATATATGGGACGTGTCTTACGTAGTCATAAAGACTCAACGACTGATTGATGACGATTGCGTCTGAGTCCAAATAGAAAAACCAGTCATATCTAGTGCTATACTGATTAAATACATGCCAAAGAACTTGCAATTTTGACCAGGGCCCTGCTCTCTCTTGATTCAAAACGGCATTATAGCATGATGCAGAGTCTTTAGATGAGTTGCTTGCATTTGATTTGTATTTGACAAGGAAATATATGTAGTCATATCCATGATTAAATGCATACTGATAATTTATTATCGCAGAAATTCGTATCAGCGCACTGGATGCTGAATAGTCTAATAGTCTGTTATCGCTAGTTAGTATCAGCACCCGAGGTAGAAGAATAGACTCTATTGCTGCACGAGAACTGAAGTTGCCATATTTGTGAAAACTAAATATCGAAGAAGTGTACAAAGAGCATTCTTCACACACACTCTTCTTGTTGGTCAATAAGAAGATAACTATAACGAGTACCAAACTCATGCAGATGAAAATAGGTGCATGGCATAATCTTCGACACAAAAATAAGACATTTTTCAGCATCTGACCAACAAATAAAACAGTGAAATTAGCTCAAACTGATGAGGTTTACTTATTTAGTGATAATCTACAACCAAATATCGATAGTGTCTTCCAGTTAGTCATAAACTGATCCAAGAGGATACATTTTATTCAAAGAAGAGGAGAAAAATACTCTGCCTTTCGGCAACCTTATTGTACTGATGCTATCTGCAGACATTTCCATTTACTTTTTATTCCCTAAAAACAGGGTATCGGTGCGGTGTGGAGTGGATGTGGTATGATGCGGTGTGGAGTGAATGTGGTAGGATGCCGTGTGGGTGTAGATGTGTTGGTGTCGATTTCGATATGGTTAAAGTGAATATCCACACTCACACTCACATTAGCAACCATGCCTACATCCACATCCATATCCATATGTATACTCACACCCACATCTATACCGATACCCATACCCTTAACAATATTGAGACCAGTCTCAATTTGAGTTATTCTGAAGGTAAATAGAATATATTTGGACAAGAATGAGTAATGTATTTGAAAAGTAGGGGTATGGGTGTAGGTGTAGGGTATGAGTGTGGCTGTGGCTGTGGATGTGGGTGTGGGGTGTGCGTGTGCGTGTGCGTGT